AAAAATACTAAATCAAATAATAAAACTAAAAATAAAATAAAAGAAAAATAAAGAAATAGAAAATTATAGGTGTGACACTATCTACAAAGCTACCAACTTACTTTTCTCATCAAGCTACTAAACTATTAGAAACATGCATATAACTTTTTTTGTAATTATTACCCTTCTCACCAGAGCACAAAATGATGAAATAAATTTAATAAAATCATGTATCTCTAAAAAAATTCTTGAAAAACTCAATAAGTATTAGGATGAATTACAGTCTGCCTTTCTAGAAGCTATATTGCTTGATCTGTCATCTCAATTTTCTACTTTTAGTTCTAATTCTGAAAAAGAATCAGATAATTCATGAAACATATAAACATTATACATCCTATTCACATGTTATTAGCGATCAAATTTTAGAACCCAACCAGTTAATTGCTGCTCATAACTACTTCTGAATCCAGTTAAAACGAACCTATGATGATATGTCATTTAGTGATAATATGAATGCATTAGATGAATACTTAAGTATGCCTGACGAAAATGTTGATGCTCTCGCGTTTTGGAAATCTAAATCACTAAACTTACCATGGTTACCTCTCGTTAAAATGGCCCGGGACTACCTCGTCGCACAATCAACAAGTGTTCCGAGTGAACAGATCTTCTCGATCGCAAAACATACGTTAAGCGAAGTAAGAAACCGTCTAGATGATGAAAAGGTACGTGCAAGCATGTGTTTGAAAACATGGTACGATTCAGGGCTAGTAAAAAATAATGTAGAGCTTTCTTTAGATTAATATAATAATTGTATACGTGTTTTTCCAACAGTAATAAAAAAATGTAGTCGTTATACGTATATTAAACCGTTGGGGTAGTACCGGTTTCAGACAACTAGTTCCTAACTAGTTCAGGACCAGGACCAGCTAGGACCGGACCGGACCGTATATTTAACATCCCTAGCCAATCCCGCTATGCTTCAATGATACCGGTACGTATTAGGTGCGAAAATGTTTTGGTAAGAATAATCATATAAAGCTTTAACACATATTCAAAATATGTATAAAGGATCAATTAATAAATAATAAACTTATTCAAATACTTGCGACATGCGTAGCGATGTCAACTTATGGATCTTCGTTAACAAAATAACCCTTGAACTATGATTAACATAATCACAAAGGGTCATTTTGTTAGCAAAAATCCTTTATCACTTTTATTCAACATACTCTATTTAGTCACTAAATCATTTTTATGTCCCTAGTTTTAATGATATATAACATTTATTTAACAAATTTTGATTGGTTTTTGAATTTGACACTATTGAAATATAAATATTTGATTCCCACACCCATACTATGTAATAATGTCATAATTCACAAAAAAAGTGTTGAGTTACAACCCTAAATGTAAGTTAAATTTTAAAATCGCGTGAGCAATACTTTAAGCTGATCTTCATGACTCAAAGATTTACAATATTTATGTTCATCCTAATAAAATCAATGAAGAATTTAATAAAGAATTAAAAAGTTTATAAAATAATAAAACTTGACAAAATATTTTATATACCTCTTTTACTCCAATATAACATTGCACCATTTGTTCACCTAAAGCATCAACAAGTACTTTATCTTCCTTCAACGCTGTTAATGTATCTCGTAAGCTTCCAGGCATTCTTTCAGTAACACCTGCTTTATTACGTTCTTTATCGCTTAAAGCAGCAGGATTCTCTATATAAAAACTTAACATTAATTATATTATCATATATATATATAAAAACACTTAATTCTATAATGTTTTACCAAGCATTGGATTAGTAGTAAGCTGCATTCCCTTTTTAATTCCATCAACTCCTGAAGCAATAAGGGCAGAGAAGACCAGATATGGATTGGAAGTACCATCTACAAATTTATGTTCGAAATGAACATCAAGATATCTTCCATTTGGACCAGTCTTTGGTCTATAACATACTCTTATTGGTGCTTCACTGCAATAAAATAATATTAATGGAAAAATAGAATAATTATATAGTTGTATGAATCATTTATTTTATTTTATTTTATTTTATAAAATACTAACCGATTTTCAACACTCCAACAAATCCAAGATCCGGCCCAACAATTATCAACAGTACGCGTATATGAATGATCTGTTGGTAAAGCAAAAGCACAAATTGCCTTTAAGTGATGTAGCACACCAGCAATAAATGATCTTTCATATGGTGATAATCCTGAAGGGTGGTCGTCAACGACTTTTGTAGATTTATCGCCTTCTTTAAAAGATAGATGCACGTGTGCACCAGTTCCCGCTTAATTAATATACAAAATAAGCTTACGTAAGTATTGGCATAACAACATTTAAACTTATTTATGTATTTAAAAAAAAAAAAAAAAAACCTTGTTTCTCAAAGGGTTTAGGTACAAATGTTGCTTTTACTCCAGCCTGAACAGCAACATCATATATTGTTTGACGTGTTAAAACAACTCTGTCAGCTGCAATCAATGGACTTTGAGGTCCAATGACGATTTCAAATTGACCTGTTGCAGCTTCAGAATGAAATTGTTCGACTTCAATCCCTTGCTCTTGTAATGATTCAACCATCTTGTCCAATATTTCAGAAGAAGAACCACGAAAAGAACTAGCCGCAGCATAAACAGTATCATCAACAGGCTCCGGTGGGGTAATGTTTTTTAGTAAGACGAATTCTAATTCAGACCCAAATAAGAAAGTTATACCAAGGTCTTTCAGAGCTGAATCCATAATTTTTTTAAGGCAAGATCTAGGACAATGAGGAACAATCGAAGTGTCAGGTGAATTATTATCTTTTACATATTGAGAGTCTACTGGAGTAAATTTATTTCCAAAGAAAGTTTGAACATTCGCATGTTTAGGGTAATAAGGTAAGTGAACGAGTGTACTAAGGTCAGGTTTCAGCACTAATTCTCCTGACACATTGAAACCAACATTTTTTGGAACCAAATCACAATAATAAGGAAAAGCGGTAAGAGCTCGTAAAGATGATAGACCACTTTTAACGATATAATTTTGGAAACGATCAATAGGAATAATATGGATTCTATATTGATTAGAACAATCCAAATAGCCGACACGAACAAATTTCACTCCTTTTTTTCTTAATTGAATTATTTTTTGTTCACCCGAAATATCTTTGCACTCTTCAGAATAAAAAATTGTTATTATGGTATTAAATTTATAAAATGTAAAATATGAATAATAAGGAATTTTTTTTTTTTTTTTTCATCAGAAATACCTTTATCATCAACCTGTTTCGGAGTTAAATTTAGTTTATATAGTGTATTAGAATTCCCAAACATAATATTTTTGGCAATTTTTATAGCTTCTTCATATGAAAACTCTTCATTTTCTACAGATTCTATTAAAACCTTAATTATAATGATCATAATTCATAAAAAAGTTAAAAAAAAAAAAATGTAATATTGTTTTGAAGAATAAAATTATAAAATGTGAATAAGTAACTTATATTACCTTGCCTAAAGCCTCTCTTCCTTGAATTGTGGCGACATAGAAAGATTCTGGATGGTAGTGACCATCTAATTTTTGATTTTTTTTTTTTTTTTTTAGAAAATATATATTAAATAAACATAAGTTATATTAAAGAAAAGCTTATCTAGTACCTGTACTAAATAATATTTTGTTACTGGGACAAATCTCCAACTATTCAAAAAATAAAAATAAAAATAAAAGTTTGTTATAAAATAGATTTATCAAAACTTGGGATATGAAATATGTATAAAGCTTACCAGCTCGCGTAAACTGGCCAACTGACCGGATGAAGAGACCATAGGAAAAATAAGACCCGTATCAACATACACGTTAGAATATACAGAAGCAAGATATCCCGCCTGACGAGAATAAGGATATGAAGCGTGCAAAAGAACGAATTTTGTATTGGGATATTTCTCAATTAAAGGTCTTAATAATCGTAAGTGTACAATTATTAGTTTAAATACACGTAAATGTATAATATAAAAAGTAATCATACCGTAGTAAAAGTGGATTGGATGATATTAAATCAAGGTCAGAATCACCAAATCCTAGATTGTTAAGAGAGATATATTTACTTAATAATTGATAAGATTTAATAATAATCGATTTAAAGACAATTTTAATATTTATATCGCGTGCCTGTATGAAATTGGATAGGAATATCGTTTTGGGTGGCAATATCGATTGCCAAGTTCAATATATGATCAATTAAGATTTTATTAACAAGTCTAACAGACCCTTGATTATCAGATAAAGACTCAAAATCCGAAACAAAGTTTCCCAAAGCAACAGCAGCAAATTCAGCATTTTGAACACAATTGATATCCAATCCGGATCTATAAGCAGCAATGCTTTTAAAGCCTACAACAGACTCAGATTTTGCACAGGCTTCTAATTGCTTTTTCAATGGTTCTTCGAAAGCAGCAAAATTTAATACTTTTTGTTCTTTACGTACTACAGATGTAGCCAAATCATTTAAGATTTTTTCAGCAATACTTTCAATTCTCACGATTCTTCGTGCATCGTCAACCAACCCTACGTGACTTTGTACATCCATAAGACCACCTAATGGATCAAGCCCATCATCCAAAAGTAATGATTGGATGCCAGTAGGTTTGAAGCAGGTTTCACATATTTTATTATATGACATTAAATCCTGGACTTCTTTAATATTATCTAAGGTTGAAGGACAACCATAAAGTTCAGCAAGTTGACGTATACCTCGTTTAAAAGCGCTAGTTTGACGAGCATCATTTAACGCTTCACCACAAGCTTCCGAGAAACATATTTCCAATGGACAAGCCACCGATGCATCAGACGTTAAAAGATTATGACAATGATTGTCAATTAAAGGAAAAGTAGATACAGTTCTTAGCAAAGCTTCACGATCATATACAGTCATATTCGTTTAAACAAATTGTAATCACTGTAATTATAAAGATATAAAATAACAGAGAAAATCAACGATCATTTTGCTGCTGGCTGATTTTATAACACTTTGGTATCAATATCCTAATTTTAGTTGATAAGTACAGATTTAGAAATGATCTTGTTTAAAACTGTTGTACACGTGGTTACATAAATAAAATATTGTAAAATAAGGTGGTTCAAAATTAACTTATTTCATTAACTTATTTCAAAAATAATGGGGAGTCTAAAAATCTTATTTGTATTTTCTTAAATGTCAAAATTAGAAAATAAATAGGAGTACGTACGTATAAAATGACAAAGTCGTTGATAAAAAAGTAAAATCATACAACACTTAAAATAATACTTTGGCAAGTCACTTGTTTTGAAATAAATACGCCATTTATTTCTTTCTCAGCAAATTTGCAGGTGAATCGTCCCAATGAATTTTGCAAGTTACGGTTACACCAAAAAATAATTACTGAACTAATTATTTCCGATCCATTGATGTAGGTATGGTTGAGGTGCTTGAGAACACCTTAATATGGTTTATCAAGTTTCACCTGCACCTCTAATTTGCATAAAAAAGTTAATACATATAATAAAATAATATTTTCCTTGTTTGTAGCTTAATAAGTAAATTATCGTTATGGGTTAAAGCAATCAGGAAATACCTTATTTTTTGTATGATAAATATAACACGTACTGTATATTTTTATTTAATTAAACTTAATAAACGAGTCACTAATCACGGACCTTAACTATGGTACGTCTTAACTATAGTACGTACGTATCTGGTATAGTACCTGGTACCGTACGTACGGTAAGGCAGAAATGCTTGTATTGGTTGGTACAGTATATTTAAGATACTTTTCACAATCGCTTTGATTGACTAGTACCCAAAAAAGAACATTCATTACGTTTTGCCGTTTTCCAAATCCCAACTTAGTGAAATAATCTCAAATTTTACTGAATTTATCGTTGTAAAAAAAAAAAGCT